GAAAACATTTATGAGCTTGGAAAGCAACAGTGAATGTCATTTAGTTCCACTGGATTCTAGATTCAAAGTATCTCCAAATCTGAGCAACTAACGCCTAAACATTCCACATCAGGGACGTCAAACTCGTTGTACGCGGTGGGCCACTTTGATCGTATCAGCGAATCAACCCTTTCTGTCAGAATAAAGATATTTCACTCAACATTTAATCCCCAATAACTCTTAATATCAGAAAAAGAAGTTCAGTTTCAACAGTACATTTTAACTTTTCTACATGACAAATGTGTTAAATTAAATAGACGTTCTAGTTAATCACAGAAAATATAGTAAATCTTGAAAAACAGGAACATTTTCCTGTGTATCTGTTAGTTTCTTGCAGTATGAATGGCAATGGAGAAGGTTTTGTCAGTAGGGAAACCTGGAAAACTTCTCAAAATACAGTCAAAAGTTCCTAATATATACACATTTTCCAAAGCCTTCTAGGATTGGAGGAGTTGCTGGGCTAATTCTGGCCCCCGGGCCTTATGTTTGAAACCCCTGTTCTAGATGTATGAACAGCACTACTCTTTAAACATGAATACATTTAATTAGGTGATAAACTTACCTTTCAATAGGTTATCAATAAAGGGTTGTAAACATTAATAGTATATTGCAGAAGTGTGTAGCAACTGTGTGGTTAGAGCAGGTCGTCTTCTACAGTAAGGGGAAGGTTGGTAGATGCATGCAGCCTCGATGCTTCAGGCTGCATGCTAAAGTGTCCCTGAGTTACTCCTCATATGAGTGTGAATGTGAACTTAGATGTAGGGCATTAATGGATACTTTTTGGCTGCTCTCTTATCCACAAGGGGGCGCCAAACAAGTCCCTCCACACATGTTTTATAGCAAATTTTACGCCACATACCTTCCTGATGCAGCCCCAAAGGGATTTGCGTCTCTTCCCGGGATTGAACTAATATCTTCCACTTGTTAGGTGAATGTGTAAAGATATTACAAAGCTTTATATATAAGGCTGAATATTAGAAAGTGGCATCCTTTCTGGCATGTCATGTTGGTTCTCTTCTTTTAAAATAGATAGATGCTGCTGCTTTACTCTGTAACTGCGTTCTGCTCTATAGAAGCTTCTTAAGTGTTTCTTAAGAGAATTTCGGTGACCCATTATGGCTTCTGTCCAGTAGTGTAGTATAGCTCTCAAGCTGTGATAGTCACAGTCTTATCAGTGTGGACAGTCAGCTGTAATGCTGCACAGATAAGTAAATGAGAATGACAACATCTGTCAGTCAAAGCAAACACACGTGACCGAGGCTGGGTCAGTGTGTGCAGCTGATGTGAGTTAATCGGCTATTTTTAAACGTGATAAGGTTCCATTTTTATCGGTGGTGACACATGCCGTCACAAGTCATGAGGCTCAGCCCCTAAAGAGCCAGTGTGTAGCAATGCGTATATTACACATTAAAATGAAATGAAGACGACCGATGAGTGTGGTTTAAAGCTGCTGTTTCCAACTGTCTTTCCAGCCGTTATCCAGACGCAAAGGTGATCAACTTTGGCACATGGTTCATCTTCAGCTTCCCCATCGCCATCATCATGCTGGTTCTCACCTGGCTGTGGCTGCACTTCCTTTTCCTCGGCTGCAAGTGAGTGCCCGT